CGAGTCAGAGCAGAAGAGTCCGTTTCCAACCCTCTGCCTCAGAGCAGAGAGACCACAGTCTGTTCTTCAGTGAGCTCTCCAGGCCACACCGTCTCCGTTTCTGTCCGTGCTGCTATAAACTGCAGCGTCCTGGGTTGTGCACCCCTCCACAGTGCCCCCAGTCCTGCCTCCAGGTCAGGGCACGTCTCTGCCCTTTGTGCTTCTAAAACTGCCAGCCGCTCCCAGTTCACCCGTGCGACCCCACAGCTCCAGTTTTCCACCCCAAGGGCTGCCCTAAAGTCCTTTCCCCGCAGCTAGCAGTCTGCGAGTCTGTGCCTTGTCTCCAGCTGTCGCTCACCAGCAGTGTAGGATCCCCACGGCCAGGCACCCTCCCGCTGCCGTTTATCCTCCGATATATGCCCGCGGAATCACGGCTCCCCGCTTTGTACCTCAAAACCAACGCCTGCAATGTTCTGTTTGTAGAGATTCAGATCTTCTTACATCTCAGGCTGGTTTCGTGGGTGCTCAGAGTGGTCTGGTAGATATCCAGCTCAATTCCGGGGACTAGTTGAAATAGGGTCCCCTACTCCTCCGCCATCTTTCCTTCCCCCCGCCATAAGACTTTTAATGACACAGAACAAACTGAGGATTGGTGGAGGGAGGTGGGTAGGGGATTGGCTAGATGGGTGATGGGTATTAAGGACAGCACTTCTGATGAGCACTGGGTGTTATATGTAAGTGATGAGTCACTGAATTCTACTCCAGAAACCAATTTTGCACTGTATGTTAATTACCTGAAATTTAAATATATCTATCTATATCTATGTCTCTATCTACATATCTACATCTCCATAGACATAGATATAGATAGATAGATATCTTTTTTCATCCTTTCACTTCAACCTATGTACATCATTCTATTTGATGTGAGTTTCTCCTAGAAACATCTTATCATAGAAATATCTCATAGAAACCTAGCAGCATATGGTCAGGCCAAGTTTTAAAATCCACTCTGCCAATGTCTGCCTTTTAATTAGTGTATTTAGATTATTTATATTCATGACTTTATTGATGTGCTATGACATAAGCCTGTAATTTTACATGTTTTTTGTCTGTTCTGCTTCATTTTTCCCAACTTGCTATGGGTTCCTTGAACTATTTTTAGGATCTCATTTTGAGTTATCCCTGGCATTTTTTTAGTGTATCTCTATGTATAGCTTTTTAAGTGGTTGCTCTGGATATTACATTATACATACATAATTCATCACAGACTAGTGGCATCAATATCTTATCAGTTTGAGTGAAGCACAGAAAATTCACCTCCCTTTATACCCCTATCCTCATTTATTTAAAATATAAATATCTTGGGGTGCCTGGGTGGCTCAGTCAGTTAAGCATCCAACTCCTGGTTTCAGCTTGGGTGATGATCTCATCTCAGGGTCATGGGACCCAGCCCCACATCAGGCTCTAGGCTCAGCACAGAATCTACTTGTCCTTCTCCCTTTGCCCCCCCAGCAACCTTGCTTTAGCTCATGTACACGTGCTCTCTCTCTCCAAAATAAACAGATGAATAAAATCTTTTTAAAAAATTAAAAAATAAAATATAGTCTTAATGATTTCCTACATATTTAGAACACATTAGACAGCTTTACCATTTTTGCTTCAACCATCAAATATAACTTAGAAAACTCAAAATGAAAAGGAAAATGCATTGTATTTATCCATGCTTTAACACCTTCCATAGTTCTTTCTTCATTCCAGATTTTCACAATTCTCTTCTACTGTCATTTTTCTGTTTCAAGGACTTTGGTTAGGATTCCTTCAGGGTTGATCTGCTGTAGTCCGATTCTCAGTGTTTTCCTTCATTGGAGACTGTCTTGATCTCCCCTGCATTCCCGAAGGATGTTTTCACTGCCTATAGAATTCTGGGTTTTCAGTTTTTTTCCAGTTGAAAACCGGTGTGCCTCTTCCATCTCGCTTCCGTGTTTTCTGACCTGAAATCACAGTCACTCACATGTTGCTTTTCCCTCTCTAGGTGTCATTTCTTTCTCACTGCTTTCAAGATTTTCTTCTGTGTCTTTAGTTTTCAGAGGTTTGATGATGATGTGTCTTGGTTTAGATTTCTTTGGGTATCTGTTTATTCAGCTTCTTGAGTCTCTTTCTTGATATCTTTTGCCAAACTTGAAATGTTTTTTTTTTTTTTAAAGATTTTATTTATTTATTTGACAGAGAGAGGCACAGCGAGAGAGGGAACACAAGCAGGGGGAGTGGGAGAGGGAGAAGCAGGCTTCCCGCCAAGCAGGGAGCCCGATGTGGGGCTCGATCCCAGGACCCTGAGATCATGACCTGAGCCGAAGGCAGACGCTTAACGACTGAGCCACCCAGGCACCCCAGCCAAACTTGAAATGTTTTAACCATTATTGTTCTAAGGTTTTTGTTTGTTTGTTTGTTTATTTTTTAGTTCCCCTTCTTTCTCCTATCTCTGGGACTCTAATGTCACAAATGTTAGATCTTTTGTTATATTTGCAGGTTCCTGGGGCTTTTTCTTTTTCTGTTTTTCAGAATGGGTAATTCTTTTTTTATTTTTAAAGATCGGTTATTTATTTATTTATTTATTTATTTACTGGAGAGAGAGAGAGCGCGCGCGCAGGAGCAGGGAGGAGGCAGAGGGAGAGGGAGAGGGAAAGACAGAATCTCAAGCAGACTCCCAGCTGATCACAGAGCCTGACATGGGGCTTAATCTCACGACCCTGAAATCATGACCTGAGCCAAAATCAAAAGTTGGACACTTAACAGACTGAGCCACCCAGACATCCCTGAACTGGGTAATTCTTGTTGTTCTCTCTTCAGTTCAGTGATTCTTTTCTCTTTCTCCTTCCTTCTGCTGCTAAGTCCATTCACTGAAGGTTTCTTTATTCTGGTTATTTTTCAGTTCTAAAATTTCCATTGGTTCTTCTATCTTTATTTCTTTGTGAAGACTTTTTTCCCCCCCATTTTGAAGCAGTTTTATGATGGCTGCTTTAAAAGCCTTGTCAGACAAATTGAACATCTTCGTCACCTCAGAGTTGGTATGTATTGATTGTCTTGTCTTCCTTCAAGTTTTTTCTGGCTTTTGGTGTGATAAGTGATTTTTTAAATGGAAACTTTGACATTTTGGTCTTATGAGACTTCTGGACCATATTTAAATGTCTGGAGTCTTCTGACACTAGCTATCAGGAGAAGAGTTTGAGCTGCCTTGTTACTTGCTACTGCCAGGTGGGAATGGAAGCCCATTTCCTTACTCAGCCTCCATGGACACTTGAGAGAGGAAGAAGTCCTTGTTCTCACTGGTGAGATTGGGAAATCCAGTTCCCCACTAGACCTGTACTCATACAACCCTGGCTGGTAAGGGCAAGAGTGCCATATACTTCTCCCTCTCTGGTCTCTACTGACACTCTGGAAGAAGCAGGCCACATTACCACTCACCAGCTCCCCACAGTTCCACCTGGAGCACCTCATTAGAGCCTGATGAAGGTGGAAGTCTAGGCTCCCCCCTCAGTGTCTGTTGGTTGGGGTGGGGTGGGGCACAGTTCTGTTTAGTGTTCGGCTGGAGTAGTATGTTTAGTACCTAAAAGTTTTCGGTTTTGCTAGAGAGACGGTTTTCTTGATCTTCTGGCTAGACATTGAAGCCTCTGGTTGAGGCTTTTCTTGTCGACGTCCATTGACATTTCTGGGTTGCTGGCTCCTTTACCCCCAAGTCTGGGATAGATGAGGCAAAAAGAAAACCCAAGGGACTCACCACCACGGTGTTCCTCAGGTCCCAAGTTCCATAGCCAGTCTCCTTGCTTCTATTTTTTGGAGTCTTCCTATCTAGTCTCTTATGTAATTTTTATGTAATTCCTTCTAGTCGTACTTAGAAGGAAGAATAGAAAAAGGCAACTGTACTCCATTTTTCCAGAAGTAGGAGCCTCCCAATAGCAGCTTAACAAATGGAGTTAATTTGGGAGAGCTTGGACTCATTTTCTGCTCAATACATGTTGTTCATGGCAATGAACAAAATTCCATGTCCCCTCCCTCAAAGAAATTACATTCTGGTGAGAAAACAAATTCTGCTATTAGTTCCTAAACATTTTCACTTGGTGATATCTTGATAGGGAAATGCTAAGGGTAGGAGACTGAAGATGAGATCTGGCAGTTACACCTTTTCACCACCATCTTGGTCATTTCCCACACTGTGCATCCCATCTTGAAGTAGATTCCAGACTAGCTCATTGTCTGGCTCAGCATGTGCCCCTGGTTCTACTGTACCCCAGGGAGAGAGCTGGGTTTAGAGTGAGCAATCAGAAGAACCATAAACAGATGATCCATCTTCCAGCAAGCCTTGGAGCAGTGACATTTGGTCTTTCAGGAGGGACCAAACAGAAAGTATCTGACATTGAGTCTTAGGAGGGAAGGGCTCCTTTTCACTGGGGTAGTGCCTTGCCAGCCAAAGAAGATCCACCTGTGACTGGATATTGTTTCTATTTGCAGAACTTCAGAATCTGGCACACAGGTCTCATCCAAGAGTCTACAATACACATGATCCCTTTCAGTAAGTCTCTTGTTTGTTTAAGCTAACTGAGTAGACTTTTTTTGGCGAAACAAAGAATTACTGACTAAGTCAACCTGGCTTATTCAAGGAGAACAGGAAAACAACCACCCTGGGAACTTATAATTTCGAAATGTATGGATCCTAAAGGAAGTAAAACCCAAAGTGAAAAGGAAGAATTTCCATTTCATTTCCATTTCCATTTCATTCTTGTACCTGCTCTTGAGGGGGCGATCTAAATTCCTTCGTTTTCCTGGCAGTGAGTGCAGCTGACATGTTTAAGGCTTGCATCACTTCGTTGTATCGGAAGCGTTGATTGTCTTGGAGCTTTGCTACAAAGTCATCTGAAAAGGCCACAATGGCTTCTATCCGGTGCCGGACCTGGCAGTCACAGAGGTACTGAAGCAGCAGGCACATCTAAAAACATGATGAAAAAAGATAACAGATTTAATTTCTCGATCTTTAAATGGCTAATGCATATCAAATCAAAATCCGTGGCAGACATGCTTAGTGGCCAACTCTTCCATGAACAGAATTCTGATTTTGTGTACACAGCACTGTGCTTGGTCCCAGGGGATAAAACATAATTTTTCTAAGCCAAAAGGGTAAATACATGTTCTTCTGGTGGACACTTACCATCCTGGCCTCCTCTGCAGCTACAGGTACAAAGGCGACTAAGATATATAATGAGAAGTTAGCCAGAGGGCCCTATGGGAACGATTCCCCAACAATAATAAAAGACTAGGGGGAGCCTGGGTGGCTCAGTCGTTAAGCATCTGCCTTCGGCTCAGGTCATGGTCCCAGGGTCCTGGGATTGAGCCCCGCATCGGGCTCCCTGCTCAGCGAGAAGCCTGCTTCTCCCTCTCCCACTCCCCCTGTTTGTGTTCCCTCTCTCGCTGTGTCTCTCTCTGTCAAATAAAGAAATAAAATCTTTAAAAAATAATAATAAAAGACTAGAACACCTTTTTTTCAAAATTGGTATAACTGGGTAATGAGTGACAGGATCATTTCACTTTAAGATGAAAACCACACACTGGGCGCCTGGGTGGCTCAGT